CAGAAAGGATAACTTCCAAGCGCGCCTGACGAGCCTTCGAGAGCTCGCAATAGCAGCGACCATTTTGGAATAAAAACAAGAAAACCCCAAAACTCAAAATCTCAACTTGTAACGAAATTAAATAATAGAATAAGAAAAACAACCGAAAAGAATCACCTGTTAACAGGCGGAATCAGAGAAAGGGAGATGCAAAATCGGAAATAGGGAAAAAAAGATGGAGCAATCGGCAAATGGAGAAGATGGGTAGAGAGGTGCAATTGGCAGATGAGGATGCCGGAAAAGTCAAGCTCAGGATCTGGTGAGAAGTACGATAGATGGAAGATGGGTAGAGAGGAGCAATCGGGAGGTAGAGGGAGATGCAGAATTAAGATTTTTAACCGTATATATGGTGGTTTAATTGTAATTTTGTTAAAATATGTGGATAAAATAGATATAATGAGTAACTTTCATTAAAAGGAAGTCAAAAGCACGCGTAAAAACTTGGATTTCTTGTTTTTGAAATTTTGAAAAGGTGAAAGCTGGCTTGAGATTCTCACAAGCTGAAGACAATTTCAGAAATAAGGGTATTTGGGAGAAATAGAGTTTTAGATTTCAAAAGCATTTCCTACGACTGTACTAAAGTCACAGATGACATCAGTTGATGTCATCTGTGAATAAAGGCTAATGTACCCAGATCCACAACTAGAGGGGCTAATTTACTTGTGATAAAAGTTGAAGGGTGATCATTAGCCTGAAGTGTGAAGTGGAATAGAGCGACTAATTTGTTTATTTTGCCTAAACTAGCTGTACGTCATGACTAATGGTATATTCTTTTCTCATCAACTAAAAGTTGATAACGAGTAGACAAAAGAACAGAAAATTTTTTCCTCAAAAAAAAAAAAAAAACAGAAAAATTAGTTGTAAGTCACTTTAATAATTTACTCATTATTGTCATTTCTCATAATTCAGAAAGCCCTTTTCTTCCATCTCCACCATTGCTCACAATTCATTACTCCCTTCTATTTTCTCCTTCCATCCCACGTGCCTTGAGACTAGATCAGTTGAGATAAACACATGGAGATCAGTCACTTTAGCCATCGCCACCGTTTGGTGCTCCTAGATCAAGAAACGGGTACTGATCAAAGCCCGAAACATTATTGCTCTGGATGCGAGGAAGCTGTAGAGGGATCCACCTACAGCTGTCGCAAGTGTCGTTTTTTCCTCCACAAGAAATGTGCTGAGCTACCAGGTGAGATCAATCACCCCCTCCACCGCCAACATCCTCTTGTTCTTTCTACTCCGACTTATGAGCACGTCGGATCGATTGTTTGTAACCTATGCCATAGGGAAACAAAGGGATTTGTTTACCAATGCTCTTCTTGTAAGTTTCACCTTGACCTTAGATGTGCTACCCATCCACAACTTGTTACTGGAGATTTTCAAAAGCTTCAGCATTTTAGCCACGACCATCCATTGATCTTTGTTCAACATATTGATTTTGGAGACAAAGATCAAGTTTGCTCTGGATGTAAGAGATCCATGTCAAATCCTTTCTACTGTTGTCCCGATTGCATGTATCACCTTCACAAGAAATGTGCAGAGCTATCTCTTGTGATCACTCACCATACCCACCAAAAACACCCTCTTTTTCTCTTAGCCAAACCCCCACTACAGGAGGACGTGTACCATGAGGGATTTGTTTACTACTGCTCTATTTGCGAGTTTGGCATCCCGATCAGGTATACTTATGTCCATGAACATCCGTTCGAGGTTGTGGAAGAGACGAGTACAGACGAAAGTGCAAAAG